AGGAAGGTGAGACTTTGGAAAAGGAAGCCTTCGCTTTATATAATCACATGTAGTGCTGAGATATCCTCACCTGGTGGCTTCATCCAGGAGGAGAATTCTGGGATTCTAAAGAAGGAAAAACATGAAAAAGAAAACACTGTTATTAGAAAAACACCAACTCCCAGGAATGCACATAAATGAAGTGCTGTACGTGATACAAAATGACGGACGTTGAAAACCTTCTGCTCGGTGAGTAAGTCAGACGCGAAACGCTACATGTCGTGTGGTTCTACAGGGAGAGCCCAGAGTAGGCGCATCCCTAGCGACAGAGCAGGTCCGTGGTCCTGGGGGCTGGGGTCCCTGGGCCACAAGGCAGGGGGTGTGGGTGACTGTGACAGCGGACGGCATCTCTTTCCGGGGTGATGACAAGGTCCTAACATTGCTCTGGGATGGGTACACAATACTAAATACACTAAAACCCACTGGATTATCACTTCTCATGGGGGAGCTGTAGAGTGTGTGAATTATATCACAACAGAACTGCTGCAGAGAAAGAGAACCACAGCTCGCAGGTGACTGTGATGAGCACAGAAGGGGGGTTGGAGGCGACTTGAGACCGTATCACAGTGGCCCCGGGACTGGGCGCTGCTCTCAGGGCACCTTTTCCTGCTGCCAATCAACCGCAGCACCAGGCGGCTCTGAAGTGAGTCCCACGAGGCCAGGCCCTCCAGGCCCTGCCTGCTGCTCCGCTGGGGGCAGCACGGAAGACGAAAACGTAAGGGGAGCTGACGCACTAACACACTCCATCCAGCTGGGCCCAGGGTTGATCAGAAGAAAGGAACACGTGTCCATGCAAACCTCTGCCCCATCGCTCTCAGCAGCACTGTTCACAAGGGCCCCAAACCGGAACCAGCCCCGATGTCTCAGTGGTGAACGGATACACAGCCCGTGGGCCAGCCCCACGGAGGGTACCACTCAGCCACAGAGAGGAAGAGAGCTCTGACAGAGGCGACAACACGAGGAAACACGAAGATGTGACGCTAGTGAGAGAGGCTAACGACCATCTCTTGTCCGATTCCATCGAGCTGGGATGACCAGAGAGGCCGGTCTAGACAGCGGGCAGATGAGCTGCGCCTGAGGCAGAGGCTGGGAACGGGAAAGGCGACACATGGTACAAGGGTTTATCTGAGGGGGACAGAAATGCTCTAACATAAAAAAGAAATATTTGGCCGAAACCGGTTTGGCTCAGTGGATAGAGCGTCGGCCTGCGGACTGAAAGGTCCCAGGCTCGATTCCGGTCAAGGGCATGTACCTGGGTTGCGGGCACATCCCCAGTAGGGTGTGTGCAGGAGGCAGCTGATCGATGTTTCTCTCTCATCGATGTTTCTAAGTCTCTATCCCCCTCCCTTCCTCTCTGTAAAAAATCAATAAAATATATTTTAAAAAAAAAGAAATATTTGTTTTGATTGTGTGATGGCTGAGTAACTGTAAATTTACTGTAAGTCACTGGAAGTACATTGAAAATGGAAGTTCCTGGTGTGTAAGTTATGCTTCAATAAAGCAGGCTTTTAAATCACTTATCCATCAGAGGAGTCGTTAAATAACAGAGGAAAGACTATCCCTTCCTAAAACATCCCGTCTGACTGCCAGCTAAAGCGCGTTCCCTTTCCTCTCGGAAGTCTGGACAAGTATTTCCAGTCCGCATTACGCAGCTTGGCAGCTGATTGCGGATTCTACCAGCAAGCAGACTGGTCCTGTTTGAGATTCTGATAGGATCACTGTCTCATTCGTTACACTGTATGCTTCTCCCTGTCAATCCCAGCACAGGACTGGCCTCCTCATATCCCCCAAATACTTGTTAAGTCTGGACAGGGAATGCCTCACTCATCTCTCACCAGCACTGTCAATCATGTATCTCCCCTCCCCTCCAAGGAAAAAGGGAAGAACAGGGAGAAGGAAAACAGTAAATTACAAGCTACAAGGTCTGTATGAAAAACAAAACAACCGCCCCGCGGGGCCGCAGGCTCACCTTCAGCAGCGCCCGGGCGATGGCGATCCGCTGCTTCTGCCCACCTGGCAACGACAAGGGTGTTTTAATGCACAGCCTGAACACCAATTCCTGGTAACAGGCTTTTCTAAGAAGCCATGTGGCAACTGGAAGGTAGCTCCTCCCAGGCAGCCCTCGCTAAGACAGACGGCAGGACAGAAACCTGTTTTAAAATATACTCCTCCTCATTAACCTCAGGATTCACAGTAACAAATATTGTGCTAGCTAACATTCACTGAGGTGCTCCAATGCCCCAGGCATTTTTTCTTTTTTAATCCTCACACGAGGGTATTTTTTCCATTGATTTTCCCCCCGTTTCCTCTCTGGGCCGGGGAAAGAGGAGCATAACATGAGGAAGGAAGGGTCAGGGTGACGTTCTGAGGTAGATGCTCTCTGCTCCCGTCTTCTCTGCATGTTCTGCTCAGGAACCTGGGGCTCCCTGGGCTCCTGGTTTCCCTGTGGCCCTTGCCCTGCAGGTGCAGACCCAGCTCTGCCACTTCCCAGCTTGGACAGCTTCTCTTGTGCCCCAGTGAAAAGGGAACAGTGATAGGATCTGCTTCATAGGGTTTTTTAAGATTAAATGAGATAATACGTGTAATGCGTTTAGACAATGCCTGGCACAGCCCTAGCCGGTGTGGCTCAGTGGATAGAGCGTCGGCCTGCAGACTGAAGGGTCCCGGGTTTGATTCCGGTCAAGGGCACGTCCCTCGGTTGCAGGCTTCTGGCCCTGGTTGAGGGCGTGTGAGAGGCAACCAATCGATGTGTCTCTCTCACATCAGTGTTTCTCTCTTTCTCTCCCTCTCCCTTCCACTCTCTCTTAAATTGTGTGGTTTGTGTGCACATATGAAACTGGAGGTAACAGAATAAACGATTCGAATCCCCCATTTTTAGCCCTGGCCTGTTTGGCTCAGTGGATAGAGCGTTAGCCTGTGGACTGAGGGGTCCCAGGTTCGATTCTGGTCCAGGGCACATGCCCAGGTTGCGGGCTCGATCCCGAGGGTGGGGTGTGCAGGAGGCAGTGATCAGTGACTCTCTCTCCGCATTGATGTTTCTCTCTCTGTCCCTCCCCCTTCCTCTCGGACATCAACAGAAATACATTTAAAAACAGAACAACAGGCACCTGAGAGAAGAACTCCCTTTTCTCCGACCATCGTGCCGAACCCCTGCGGGAAGCTGCGGATGAAAGCAGTTGCGTTGGCGACTTCCGCCACCTCCTCCACCTGCGCGGCCGTCACCACAGAAGGGTCCTCTGCCCCGTAAGCAATGTTCTCAGCAATTGAGCAAGAGAACAAAATTGGTTCCTGCAAATTGGAGATAAAACATGTTGACCTCCAAGTTCAAAACAGACTCCACACGCCTAGCGAACACCGTGGGCTCACTCAGCGCAGCACTGACATCTGAGAGACCATTAAACGGCCCCCAAAGAGCACAGGCTGCTTTCCTGCCCCCACCTCCTCATTCCTCATGAATCGCCCAGCAGGACTGATCTCATCATCTGTAGCTCCCACCCACTGCAGGAAGCGAGACCCATGGCAGACGCCTGCACGGCGCTCGGCACACAGTAGGCACTTCATAAATGCAAGCTCCTTCTTCGTGGGAGTCGGGAGGCCCTGGGAGACCACAAGCCCATCTGCATTTTCCGGCGCCTGCCTTCCACCGAGGACATTGCTTCTTGAAATATACACAAACCAGCTCTAGCTGGTTCGGCTCAGTGGATAGAGCATCGTCCTGCGGACTGAAGGGTTCCGGGTTCTATTCCAGTCGAGGGCACGTGCCCGGGTTGCAGGCTCAGTTCCCAGTGTGGGGTGTGCAGGAGGCAGCTGATCAATGATTCCCTCTCATTATGGATGTTTCTCTCTCTCTCTCCCTTTCCCTTCCTCTCTGAAATCAATGAAAATATATTTTAAAAATAAATAAAAAAGAAATTTGAAAAGTCAGTGCTTCAGTGGGTTAAAGTGCGTGAGGTCCTGAGAAGCAGCACTGTTTACAAGCTGACGCAACCTGCCACGTGGGACCAGCTCAGTGCATCTGGAAAACCGCCATCCTCACGGAGACTCAAGACCAAGCAAAAAGCGAGTGACAAATGCAGCTTTAAAAGAAACCTCAATAAAAACACCCGCTTCCTCCTACCTGACTCACTGTCCCGATCTTGGATCTCAGCCAGACGGGGTTCAGTTGGCGGATGTCACGACCGTCCAGACTGATGGTCCCTGCGGAGGGAGGAGAGCCGCTGGTCAGGGCCACCCACGCGTGTCAACACCAGGTCTGGTGGGGAGGCTCCAGGCGCCGTTTTTGAAAGGTTAAAAGTCTCACAAAAGGAGAGACAGATGGACGCCACCTTGGGACGATCTTAAATTAAACCGGACGCCGTTGGGCGTTTGTAAAGTCTCTCGAGCATTCTGAAGTCGAAATAAATTCTCCCCCCAGCTCTTTGCACATGGAGCCCTCGTGCAGGGCACAGGCGTGAGACGGGCGAGAACGGCCCTGCCCTCCGAGGTGAGGACCCACCCGCTCACCTGAAAGGGGGTCGTACAGCCTCAGCAGGAGGGAAACCACCGTGGATTTGCCGGACCCACTGGGGCCCACCAGCGCCGTGACGGACCCCGAGGGGATGGAGAGGCTGAAGTCCTGGAAGATGGGCACCTCGGGGCGAGCCGGGTAGGCGAAGTGCACGTTCTTGAACTCCAGCGCACCCTGGAAGCTCTTCTCGTTCAAGGTCAGCCCCTCTGAAACGGAGGACGGAGCGTCATCACTGTGCGGAGGGAGTCCCAGGTGAACACAGCTCCCACCTGGCTAACACGCCGCCCCCAGTAGCCCTGGGGGTGCTCCCCGGGCAAGTCAGGAAGAGGCCTCTGTCTACGCTTAGCTGCTCCGCACGCCCCCCAGCCAAGGCGATGCACAGGCCCTGTGCCCCGAGAGGTGGAAGGTACCGTCCCAGCTCCCCTGCAGGTCACTGCGCTCACAGCCAACCACCTGCCCGAGCGACCACGGCCTGGAGGTGGCTCCTGCCGCCCTGAGCCAGCCTCTGTCGCTCCCTTGCTCCCGGGTTCGTCTGATCTGATCTCACTCCGTGTTCTGAGAGTATGACGACACACCCCAGCCACGGAGCAGAGGGGGCAGCGTCCATGCTGCCTGGTGCCCCCTGGGCTACTTCCCCCACCCCGGTCCTGGAGGGCACTGGGCAATACTGGGCATGCGCCAGCAAGGCCCGCGAAGGGCTTGGGGATGGTCACAGCTCACGGCCACTTCTTCTGAGTCCTGAGGACTGGCCTCCAGGGAAGCAGCTGGCCAAGACCCTCAGGACCAGCATTCCTCACGCCATCCCCTGAAACCAATACACGCGGAGGCTTTTTACACGTATGATGCCTCTTCCTTTCCTCCTGCCCCGCTACACGCATCACAACCACCAAGGAGAACAGATGGGGGACGGGCAGGGCCCTGGCCCCTGGCACGCGGGGCTGCCACCTGCTGTCTGTGGCAACAGGGCCCCTGCGGGGAGGTGGGCGGTGGGCAGCACACCCTGCGCTTCACAGACCCACCGTCGAAAGGCAGCCCCGGCTTCCTCTCCAGCAGCTCCCAGAGGCGGCCCCCGGCGCCCAGGCCCTTCATCAGCTCCGAGTAGAACGAGCTCAGACCTGAGGGGAGACGCTACATCCGTCCCTGTGCCGGCCACAGCCGTCCGCTGCTCCCATCCCGCTGGGCAGTGACAGGCGCTTTTAACGTAAAACCTGCTGCTTTCAAAGAAGGACCCGAGGCAGCTGCCTGGGACCCCACGGGCAGAATCCCCTCCGTCTCGTACCCTCCTCCTCAGCATCCCCTCTGACTTCCCTGATTTCTAATAAGGACTTAGTGCTTAGTGGTTGGTCAGGGAATTTACAAATACATACGGCCGCACTAATCAACCACTGAGTTCAGAGCACAGTGCTACCGAGGAAATTCTTCTGAGCCAGAAACATAGCAATAGA